AAAAACAAAAACAAAAACAAACAAAAATAGAGTCAGTATCACAAATTCTTAGGTCCTTATCATCTAACTTCAACCATTACTACTTTGATTCCCAATCTTGCTGCTTCTATTCTTTCATCTTATTCCTTATCCTTAATAGCTTTGCTTTGTGATGTCAGACATCATGACATTTGATCCATAAATATTTCAGTATCTCCTAAAGATAAAGTTATTTTTAAAAATAGCAATACTATTATTGTCTCTAAAACAAACCAAACCAAACCAAAAAAAAGCAACAATTTTTTTTGGGGGGTTACTGGGGATTGACCCAGGGGCACTTTACCACTAAGTGACATCCCTAGTCCATTTATATTTTAATTTTGAGACAGGGTCTTGCTAAGTTACTGAGGCTAGCCTTGAACTTTGATCCTTCTGCCTTAGCCTCCTGAGTAGCTTGAATAACAGATGTGCACCATCACATCCGGTTAAAAAAGAACAATTCTTTAATAACATCAAAAACTCTGTCAGTGTTTAAATTTCTCCAAAGATTTCATACATTCTCTTTCATTTTTTCCTCTTTCCCTTCCTCTCAAGATCCCTTTTTTTCCTCTTAATTTAAATCAGGATCTACATAAAGTCTGTGCAGTTTTTTTGGTTGCTCTTAATCAATAGCTGCATTATTTGGTAACAATAGCTCAGTATCCATATGTGGTTATTTAAATGAGCAAAAGATTTAATGTCTTAGTTATACTATCATATTTCAAGTGCTCAGTCCATATGTGACTAGTGGATACCATGCTGGACTGTACAGATTCAGATGTTGTTTGTCCTATAGATTTCTAGAGCCTGAATTTTGCTCATTTTTCTTATTTTTTGCTCTCTTTTAAATTTCTTATTTTGTATTAGTGTTTTCCTCCATCTCTACCAACCTAAAAGCTATACACTCTTTCAGGGATTAGCACTGTGCATTAAACCTTCAGATATTTCAGACTCCACATTTGTTAAGTAGGATAACAACAGTATCTACCTCCATAGGATTGTGAGGTTTGAGTTTATATTGAAAGCAGATCAACTGAAATAATGACTGGGTTCCTCATATATTCTCTGTTTTCTGTATTTACCACATTGGTCAGATACCAGTTCTATTTATTTCTGCTTTTCTCTTGTACAAATGCCAACTCTACAGAAAAGAATACTTACTCGGCAGCGCAGGGACCGTTTGATCAGAAGATGTTTGTGACGAGGATAGAGTTGTGAAGCACAAATTGGTTGGAAGTCAGGCTGTAAGAGGCGCTGCTGAAGGGTAGTCACTATCGTGAAAGGCAGAAACTAAGTTTAGTGACTTTAAAAATGTTTAGTTTAGTGACTTTCAAAATCTAACTTATGTAGTCAGTAGTTATATGGAGCAATACTACCATTACAGATAGTGTCGTTCAAAAAACTACAATTCAGAAACTTGATAGACATTTTATAGTTCTTCAAATGATTACATCTATTTTATTTTCTATATATAATTTTACCACTAACAACTAGTCCCTTAAACATCTCAATCACCAGGCATATAAATAACAAAAAGTAAGTATGTGTATAATAGAAACAGTGTAAAATTACCCTCTGTTAAATTTACTGGTCTTGTGTAATAGTCTTCAGGTAAAGGTTCCACTTCATCCACAGCTTGAGCTGGCTCAATCTTTATCTCTTTCTGGTCCTCTCCTTCTTTAAGGCTAAAAGATAAGAGATTAATTTCCCAAGGATCCATATGATCATCCTCCAAGTTATATCAATATTTGACATATTCTTCTATTGTAGAATATTCATTAGTTTTGATCTTTTCTTTTTTTGGTACTGGGCATTGAATCCAAGGTGCTTAACCATTGAGCCACATCTCCAGCCCTTTTTATATTTTATTTAGATATAGCATTTTGCTGAATTGCTTATGGCCTCACCAAGTTGCTGAGACTGGCTTTAAACTCATGATCCACCTACCTTAGCCTCTAGAGCCGCTGGAATTACAGGCCTGTGCCACCACATCTGGTTTTGTTTTATTTTGTTTTTCTAAGTATGAAAATCTCTTTCCCCATTGACATATATCCTTTTTCTCTTTTTGGGGGCACACCTGCAGTGGCTCGGGGGACTGAGGCAGGAGGATCACAAGTTCAAAACCAGCCTCAGTAACGTGATATACTAAGCAACCCAGTGAGACCCTGTCTCTAAATAAAATAAAAAATAGGGCTAGGAATGTGGTGCAGTGGTTGAGTATCAATCCCTGGTACCCCCCATGGCCTGGCCAAAAAAAAAAAAGTTCCTTAAATATTAATTTTGATACCTGCTTTTCTTTTCAAAATCTAATGTTCAAACTTACGAAAGTCCAGCAAGAGTACTGATGGATGCGCCAGCTCGGGGTCGCTGAAGCCTGGTTCCAAGACCATATTTGTCCTAAACAAAATTCAAAAATCCCTATTAGAAAATCCATTTATACATTGTATTCACTGAAACAAAGAATTTGGGGTGGGATAGCATGAGAAGCTTAGGGAAATAAGCAAACACAAAACAAAACAAAACCAAACCCAAAAACTAATTTAAAAGCTGCTTTTAAAGACGGTGGTTTGTAAACCCACACCATTATTCTATTCCTAAAATAATAAAAGCACCAAAATGGAGACTGAAACTACATTAATACCAGTAAAAGTGAATTAAATGTGAGTTTTTGCTATTAAGCTAAAAAATCTAAGCTGTGGCTCAGGCAAGAACTATGTGGAGTGTATAAGACAGGTGATGAATTTCATCCTGGAACACCAGTGACCATCTGCTAACTTCTTCAGGGTTAGCAAGAATTATAAAAGAGAACTTACCACTACATGAATAGTATGTTGCTGTAGAGCCCCCAAATAGCAGCAGGTTGCAACAGAGACAAAAAAATGCAGCATAAGATAGAAGCAAACTCATACAGCAGGCAGGTATATGGGAAAGTTGGAAGGATAATGCATTTAATTTAAATTCCTCTCCTAAATATATAGTACTACATGTGCTGATTATACCTTTGGACTTGAAAAAAATCTGGCTGCTTTGCAAGTGTCAATGTTTTATTAAATTCCAATCTAAATATTTTCATATGAACCTTATCAATCTTTAGGGTTTTAATGGCTCAACTCATTCTCATGTTGATACAGGATGACAAGTTACTTCATCCTGCCAGCTCTCATTATGTCAAGTGTAAAATGGGGATACATTATCTGTCCCACAAGATTGTTGTGAGGATTAAATAAAATAATACAAACAAAGTGCTAAGCATGTGCTTGACACATCATTGACATTCAATAATACAAACAAAGTGCTTAGCACAGTGCTTGACACATCACTGACATTCAATAAATGTTCTTTATTGAATGTCAATCTGTTGGGTCTCAAGCAAGCACAAAGAAACCAAATTGTTCCATAAAAGCAAATAAAACTTGGGGGACAACAACAAAAACTCAAAACTTTTATCTCTTGCTTCTGCCTATTAGTATAAAAACTGATTAATGAATAACTTCCATAAATAATTCCTATAAAAAATTGCACGTGTATCTTTTACTATATAACCACTCAAATGCACTGTGTAAAAGTCAGTGTTTCTGATTTTGGAGAAATATGGGAAGGTATCAAAAAAAAAAAAAAAAACTATAGAGTTGGGAAACTACTACTACCAGGGTGTCAAAGGTAGGCTACACGGGTAATCTCAATAAAATCTACCACTTGCCCACCTTCTTCTTCTCAGACTTTCTCGAATACACAAAAGTTGCAAGTAGAGTTAGGCGGTGCCTATAAAATTAAATAGTAGCCTTTTGAGGGTAAATATTCAAAAGATAGAAGTAATGGTGAAAAAACCACAAATGTCCTTTGGGCTCAAACGTCTGCTACCCAACACTCAGGAATCTAGGACAATGGCCACTTTTTGAAATGTTATGTCCCACAAGTTTTGCAATGTCCATTTTTTTGGTACCAAATCCTCACCGAAAAAGCCAGAGGCATATAGTTTCTACGTCGTGCCAATTTCTTGCGATCTCGCTCAACCTTCTCTTTCTGAGCAAGCTGCTGGTAATATTCAATCAATTTGTTCATCTGTAATAAATCAAAGAGTTAGTATTTGTTTTGCAAAAAAAGCTAACAGGAAACATACAAAATAGATAAACCATATCGACTAGTTACATAATCAGTACAGAGAAGACAAATTAGTTAAGATGGGCAAGTATGTGCTTTTTCTTTAAAGAGAATTTTTTCATTACATGATCTGCTTTTAGAATCGAAATGAAACCTTCAAGTTCAACCACGGAAAGAAATGGGCAATAAAAAGACTTGAAAATTTCCGGTTCTTTTTTTCATTGTTGTTTTATTTTACTGCTTATTTCTTCTTCCAATTGCTCCTATTTTTTTCTGCATGAATCATTTATTTCCAAGAATATGACATTTCATATTCTATTTTATATTCCTCCATCATACTCTTTTACTTTTAAAGTATTTTAATCATAAAGCAGCATACATTATTTACAAACAGTTCAAATAATATATAAACATAAATAAACCATAAAACTTCTCTTTCATCTCTGTGTGCCTAAGTTGACCTCTTTACTCAGTTATCCACTACTATCAGTTTAGATATCATTCTCATACACTAGAGACATAGCACATTATATTTTGCATAATTTCAAAACACCTGTGTATAGACATACAACTTGAATTTCCATGTAAAAGGGAATGAAAATTATAACATTCTTTTTCACTGCAAATATCCTGAACTTTCTATCCAGTACAAATACATTGGGTTCATCTTTCTATCCAGTGCAAATAGATCAATGTCATTTTTTTAAAAAGGTTGTAACTTATTGGAAAGAGATACCCTACAAGGTATTTAACCAATTCCAACAACTGAATCAACTAGACTTATGGTGCCCACGACTGTATTCTGAATTCAGCAGTAACTACTTTTTAGGAACACTAATCTGATCCTGTTATCTCCTCCACTTAATAGTTTCTCAAACTCCTTAATTTGGTCCTGCATGGTCAGACCCTAAATTCCTCTTTGTTGTGACTATGCTCCACTCTAGTGACACTCTCTTTCTTACCTACCATATGTTTTGCTTCCTTCACTTACAACGTCTTTGCATATGTTGTTTCCCTGCCTTACATTCTTTCCCCTCTGTGCCTGTTGTCCTCAATTCTCAGTGGATGTCCCTCACCCCTTCACATGTTCACATGGCACAATTTCTCTCCTTCACATTACTTACCATGGTTTTCTCTTTATCTGGGAATTATCTGAATGATTGATTTGACTTTCCCCCCTCATTAGACTTAAACTCTATGAAAGTCGGGACCATATATCAATATGGTCCTTGGCATATAGTTATTAACTTTTTATGAAATGTGTGTGCGCGTGGCGTATGCACACATGTAAGCATTTCTATAATTCATGCAAGAATCCAAGAAGTATATACAGCCAGAAGCTCAAGAAATCTATGTCAACCTACACTAATATTATAATAGTACAACAAAGAAAACCCATTTCCCCACACTTTGACCTAGGATATTTTCATATTTCTAATTTTTGCTGATATTATAGATGAATAATTACTGTTTAATTTGTACTGACAGGACACTTCATTTCTATAGCAGTTCATTACCCTACTCATATTGTTCTAATTCAAGAGGATTACAAAAAAAAATCAGGTATAATACACAGATCAATTCACTACAAATTGCTAAAGGATGCTCAAGGCATGATCCTATAAGCAGCCACTACTGAGACCAAAGGTATTTTCTAAATCAGTAGTGTTTCCAGTGGTTGAAATGTCTACATGTTTATATTTCCAAAAATATTTGATAACAAATGAGACTTTAACTCACTGGTGGGTATGTGAAGAAAAGAAAAAATGCTATCTTTCCTCTTTTGGACATATAACTCAAACACAGAACTAAAATTATATCTAGATGTTTCCATTAACTTCTAAAAGAAGTGAAATTGTGATTTAATGTCTTACAACGAGAAGCATTTTCTATGTGTAAAACATAACAAAATAGACATCATGGACTTCTAGGCATAGGTCATATGCACCGATAAAATGGAAGATGTTTAGTCTTTTATTCTATATTTTCTTATTTATTTTATTTTATTTTTTTGTCATATGACCCTTTACTTACCCGTTGTGTGTGAGGATTTTCTGGTTCCTGCCAACCACCACTAGCTAGAAAATAAAGAAACATTAAATGAGACTTTCATTATTTGACCATTTTCATAAAAATAGGTCATTTGTAGGCCATAAAATGAAACTTAAAGACAAAGTCCAAGAATTTCCCAGAAAGAATTCTATAAATTTTATAGACTAGCATGCTCAGAATAACATTTTTTTTTCTTTAGCTATAATGATGCTGATAATGCCCACCTCTTTCATTCCTACAGCACGCATAGCCTCCACAGTAGGCATTTGAAAAGTATTAAATTTCTTTCTATTCCCATAATAACCTAAGGAAGGGACTCTTATTACTAGTTTCATTTTTGCAGATAGAAAACTGAGGCTGATTAAATAACTTGCTTAAAGTCATATGGATAGTAAATGGTAGTCTTAGGCTTAAACTGAAGCAAGCAGCCTAATTCCAGAGACCCAGTTATTATCTGCATTATTATACAGATTCTATATTCTATTACTTCGAGTTATAAAAAAATAGATTACTCAAGAGAATTGAAAATAAAATCATAATGAAAAATTTCAACTAATGATGCTAAAACAATTGAATAACCACATATAAAATAAAGAAAAAAGAATCTGAATGCTTACAACATGTACAAAACTTATCCTGAAAAGAACAAGAACTTAGTAACTCTAAGAGCTAAAACTAACATGTAGAAAACACAGAAGTAAATCCTAGTGACAGTGGATAAAATTTTTTCAACAGGACACAACACAAAGTATAAAAAAAAACAACTGATAAACTAGACATCACTGGATTTATAATTTTATGTTCTTCAATAGACAATACTGAAAAAATATAAAGGCACACTACAGACTGGGGAGCTTTAGAAGATATTTCTAAAATGCATATATGACAAAGAATTATATCCAGAATATGCAACTCTTACAACTCAACACAAAGACAAAAAGAAAAAGAAGAAAAAGATCTGTTAAAAAATGAGCAAAAGATTTCTAACAAATTCACTAAATATGCTAAATAGATAGCATATAAACACACAAAGAAAACACAAACTAAAGACAATGAAGAATCACTATTCAAGTACCAGAATGGTTAAAATGAAGAAATCAAAAGTGTCAAGGATTGTCAAGGAATTAAAACTCTCCTATTTTACTGATTAGGATCCAAAACTGCACAGACACTTTGTTAAATAGTTAGCAGTTTCTAGTTAAAGTTAAGCTACACTTACCCCATGACCCAGCAATTCCACTTCTAGGTATTTTCTCAATTAAAAAAATAAAATAAAACATATACCTACACGAAGATTTGTAAGCAAATGTTCACAGCAGCTTTACTCATTTAAGCCCAAACTGCCAAACGACCCACATTCATCAAATGAAGAATGGATAAACAATTTGTGTTATACCCAAACAAGAGGAACAATAAAAAAGAAATCTTACGAAGCAAAAATATAGATGAACCTCAAAATATTATGCTGAAGTGAAAGATGCCAGATACAAAGGACTATGGACTACAAGACACCAATTATATAAGCTTCTAGGAAAGGTAAAATCATAGTGATCGAAAGCATATCAGCCAGGTGTGGTGGTGCATACTGTAATCCCAGTGGCTCAGGGGCTGAGGCAGGAGAATGGTAAGTTCGAGGCTAGCCTCAGCTACTAAGTGAGGCCCTAAGCAACTTAGCAAGAGACCCTGTCTCAAAAAATAAAAACGGCTGGGTATGTGGTTCAGTGGTTAAGCACGCTTGGGTTTAATCTCCAGTAAGAAGGGGGGGGAAAAAAAAGAAAAGAAAGTGTATCAGGGTAGTCAGGGACCAATGATGTGGAAAAGGAACTGATTAAAGGAAATAGAGGAAACAACTCTGGAGTGATGGAAATGGTGTGTATCATCATTATGGTGGTGGTTATAACTACATATTTATTAAGCAGAACAGATTTCTACACTTAAAATTGGTAAGCTTCATTATATGTAATTATCTCAAGATTAAATAAAAATAAACTATAATGAAATATGATTTCACACCATAAATTTGGAAAAAACTTTAAAGAGCCCTAAATTGGTAAGAGTAACTCAGTGAGACTCTGTCTCTAAATGTAATTCAAAAAAAGGATTGGGGATGTGGTTTAGTGGTCTAGTGCCCAAGTTCAATCCTTGGTACCAAAAAAAAAAAGCAAAAACAAAAAAACTCCCCAAAACCTGGTATAGCATTTTGGAGAACAAAGGAAGTTTACATCTTCTGATGGACAATTTTACTTCCAGTTATGGCATAAAAATGCTTCTTTTTGTGCCTGAATAAACACATACATATTTTTCTAGCAGCACTGTTTTCAACAGCAAAAAACTGCAATATCCTAAATGTTCATTGAAAACAACTGAATAAAGTACACTGTGGTAAGTCATATGCAAATCAATCATGTAGGAGAAACAATGTTGAGGAAAAAATGTGGTAGCAGTACCTATACAGTATATTTCTCCTTGCTTAAAATTAAAAAATACTATTTGTTAGTGGCTACATACAGATTCAGAGACGTATAAAGACAAGCATGGACACTAACAAACACAGGATTGAGATTATTTCCTGGAGAGGAAGATGAGGCAGAGAGGAAGAGGAATAAAGTAGGGAAAAGGTTACAAGAGGTCTTAAAACTGCTTTGGTTATGTTTTGTTTCCTAGACTGGATAAGTACATAAATACTCTATATTTAAAAATAATTTCTTCTCCCCCAACAAAAAGGACTTTTAAATACCTTGCTGATGGTAGCATTTTACTCTTTTGCAAAAAATGGTTGAAATAACACCTTGTAGCACAATATTCGTATTTTAGAGGCTGTCTTACTCAAGGCAGTCATGAAAAATATTTTTAAAAGTCTGAATGTTTTGTCAGGTACAGTGGTGCTTGCCTGTATTCTCAGTGGCTCAGGAGGCTAAGACAGGAAATCCCGAGTTCAAAGCCAGCCTTGGCAACTTAGCAAGGCCCTAAGCAACCTAGGGAGACTCTGTCTCAAAAATAAAAAGGGCTGGGGATGTGGTTCAGTGGTTAAGTAACCCTGGGTTTAATCCCTGGTTAAAAAAAAAAAAAAATCCATATGTTTTAGCTACTTGCTTCTTTAGAACTAGTAATTTCTTCTCAACAGCAATTTGACAAGACTACTATATGATGTCATTATAATTTTTTCTCTGTACATTAAAGAGAAGTACCTAAAAATAATCAAATAAATAAAAGTGGTTTCAGGGCTTCTTAGGCACCAATGACATCATGGAGGAAATGAAATTATCTATACTATTTAAGAGTTCTGAGTATTCAATTATCACTTCTAGATACCCCAGAAGAAATAGGTTTCTAGAAGTCATCATAAGTTTTAAGTTCTGAAATAAAAATTCTCCAATCCTTAATGGCTCATAATATAAAAGGCTAATATAAAACATTCACTTACAGAGTAACAAACTGAGATATCTATCTGGATTTCTGGGTGTTTCTTTTACTTGAAAACAAGAAAAATAGCTGGATCATATATCAGACTATAAACGAATAACCAAAAATGTAGAACTATTACAAATAAATAATGAAAAGTCAGAAGGACAATGGGCAAAGATTATGAACAGCAACTCTCATAAATGGAAATAAAAATGTTCAATAAATATGTCAAAGGTTCAAGTTCATTAATGCTCATGAAATGCAAATTAAAACTTCCTTCCTTTCTTTATTTTGTGTACTGAGGATTGAACTCAGGGGCACTTGACCACTGAGCCACATCCACAGCCCTATTTTGTATTTTATTTAGAGACAGGGTCTCTCTGAATTGCTTAGTGCCTCACTAAGTTGCTGAGGCTGGCTTTGAACTCAGGATCCTCCAGTCTCAGCCACTGGGATTACAGGTATGAAGCACCACGCCCTGCTAAAACTTCCTTTATTTGGCAAAAATTTTTAAATTTGGTTATATAAAGTGTTGGCTACAAAAAAGGAAAAATGGTTCTCCCATACACTTCCATCATGGTGAACAATTTGACAACATCTATAAAAGTTTTAAATTGCTTTTATTTCTTCTGCTTGGCAATTCCATATCCAAGTATCCATCCTGGAGTATCCAAACATGTTTTAAAAAAAAAAAGAAGACTCATATACATGGATGAATACAGAGCTGACAGTTGCATTTTATGAACTCATGTTCAAGTCCACTTCACTCACCTACAGATTTGTCTGCCATGCCCACATCTCTAGATGTCCAGCGACAAAATCCACAGGCCAAGTAATAGGCTTTCTTCATGGTAGTTTTGGCTGGGTCATCTGGGAGCTGCGTGGAGATGCTTGTTGCCCGGGTGGATAGTGTGTGCATGCAGCCAGGACAGTCAAAGCAGTTGGCACATCTGCAATGTGACAAACACAACCATTTGTTCATTCAACAAATATTTATCAAACTATGTACCAGACACTGTTCTACATGTTAGGAATTCAACAGAGTACATGTTCAATTTGGAATATCTCCCAAGAAAAAAGATAAAAAATTATTCCTGGGGCCTGTTTTCAACTTTATCATTTTGAAAGAATTATATATTATTTTAAAAAATGTATGCAATTATCACCAAAGCTTTTGAAGAATTAGAACCTGATCCAATCCTGCTCCAGAGAGGAAATCACTGTTAACAGGTAGAATTCATTATTTCAGAATCTTTTTATGCTTAGCAGGTTACAAAGATTTCTAAGGGAAAGACAACTGTCACAGCATAAGCCTTGAAAGGAGAGCCCAATTATATGATGGAAAACAGAGTCAACAGCTCAAAGAGTTGTGAAACTGGATTTAGAAAATAAGGGCTTGATTGCTGTGCCAGAGAGCTGAAACAGAAACCAAACAATGCCACTAAACTGCAAGGATTCAGAAACAGTATGCTTTCAGGGTTTTTTCTTCTCAGATGCTATTCTTCCTAGCCTCAGCCAAGATTTTCCTTCTAGGGGTCCTGTGCCTTGCTGCTTTTAACCTTCCCACCACCTGAGATTACGAATACCTCTAGTCTTGTATCACTTCCATTATCTGCAACATTTTGCCATCTGTATATTATCCTTAGGTGAGTATAATAGTATCCACCTCACAGAGATTCTCTGAGTATAAAATGATAAAATTAACATGTGGGAAGCAAACAAAACAGCATCTGATTATCAGGAGCTCTTTCTTGGGGCAGGAAAAATAAATAACACATCCATAAAGGTATAGAAGTGTGATAGGTAGCAAAAGGACTTTCAAGCCAAACTAAAAACTATCATCCAGTAGCAATGAGCAGGTCTAGCAGCCAGATCTTGGTTTCTAATACTATTCTCCAATAAAAGGAACCAAAGTTCCTTTGAGAAATGCCAATTATAAGACAGACTCAGAAAAATACATGAGACAAGGCATGGAGTATTTTGTAGCACTCAAACTAATGAACAGAACACTTCCCCCTAACTACCAATTATAGGGGTATGTTGAAGGAATACAGAAGTAAACTGAAAGAGCCCCATGGCCAAAGCTGGAACAACATGGGCAAAATAAATAAATAAACCAACAAGCAAAAATATAAATAAAGCAGTACTGGATTACAATCCAAAGTATAAAATAAATATTCATGAGCTCAAAGTGAAATATGATTTACATGATAAATAAATAAATAGAGAAGAGATAAATCTTTCATGAAAAATAAATTTTAAATATTTTATGCAGAAAGCCTTCAAGAAGGGGGAAATTTCCCACTAAGTGTGGACTATGATGTGATTTTTTTATTCGAAGGAGTAAAGAAAAGGAGTGGAAAAAAGACTAGCCTTACAGTTGAGAAACCTGACAACACTAGCTCATGCCAGGTAAGTGAGGTTAACATCCAGAGAGATAAATCATACGGACAGTTAATTCATCCTTGATCTGATGTGATGAGAGATGGTACTTTATCTCTGTGGTCCTCTTCCCTCCCTAAAACATATCCTTCAGTCTGGCGAGGAAAACATCACACAAATTTTAATTGGGGTACATTCTATAAAGTTCTTCTCCAGTACTCCTCAAAATTCCTAATGTCATCCGATTTAAAGTCTAAAAAACTGTCACAGTCAAGAGAAGCCCAAGGATATATGACTAATATAATGTGGTTTCCTAACAACAGGGGAGACTGGGTTGGAGGTGACAAAGAATTCTCTGTACTATCTTTACAATAATTCTTAAATCTGCAACTGTTCTAAAATAGAAAGTTTATTTAAAAAAAAATCAAAGGGCATTTGATCTGAGGCAGTGATGAAATAAAGAGCAATTTAAAAAAAGAAAGTAATTCCATGTGCTTCCTTACCAGCTATTTAAAAATAGTTGAGGAAAACAGAAAAACTGATTATGTTCTTACCTATTTTTTTTTAGTTTGGCTTCAGCTGATGGCATATTTTCTAAGCAACTGGGACAATAATGGGAGTCCACCTAAGATCAAATAAGAAATAATTAAAAAAAAAAAAAAAACAGAGAAGCTCAGTTTAGTTTGTAGAAATGTCAAATTACGAATTTTAAAATACCCCAGCAAAAGGTGAAATATCACTGATCTGGGAAAAAAAAAAACTTTCTATTTTTCATTTTGAATATTTCCTGTTCCCTTTTATTGTTAGATATGTCAAAAGTTGTCTATATCATAATTTAAAGTTTTCAAATGAATAACTCTATGATAACTTAATGAACAGATTAATTAAACAATACAATTATAAAGCTGTGATCAAATACCCTCTTATCTATTCCAGCTTTATTTTTAAATTTTTATTTCTTTTGAAGTACTGGGGATAGAACTCAGGGTCCCATTACTAGGCTACATTCCTACTGAGCTACATCCCCAGCCATATTCCTTTAAAATTTTTTTGAATTTTGTGACAGGATTTCACTAAGCTGCCCAGGCTGACCTTAAACTTGTGATCCTCCTGCCTCAGCTTTCTGAGTACTTGGGATTGCAGGCATGTGCCACTGCACCTGACTAGTTCAGCTTTATTTGAATACACTTTAACTGCTGAGGGAGACTTAAAAAAATAGTTTTCTCATCAGTAAAGTAACATATTTTGTAAACGTAAATTAATTGCTTTAACTGGTTTATTTTAAAATGAAAAATTAAATAGGATAATCTTATCATATTTAATGCAAAGCACAGTCCAAACATTAAATTCACTATATTTTTTAAAGATCTGAAAAAGTCTTTTCTTTAATGCAGGTAGACCCTATTCGACAATTATAGAATTCTACTCACCTCCATCTGGAAAGATAGTAATTTGAATGTAATTACTGTGATAGAAACTGTCTTTTTTTTTTTTTTCACCATCTGCTATAAATAGGCCCAATTTGAAAAGATCAATACAATTGCTATTCAGTATAAAGTACAATATTGCTAACTAATATTTCCACTGTGTTATGGTTTGGATTGAGGTATCTCCCAAAGCCTCCTGTGTCAAAGTTTAGAGTTGAAATGATTAGATTATAAGAGCTGCTACCTACTCAGCAGATTAATTCATTTGATGGATTAATAACTTGAATGGCTTAATTGGGTGATGACTGTCATGGCTGAAGGAAGTTAGGTCCCTGGCAGCATGCTTTTGGGGTTTATATTTTATCTCTGGCTCCCTGGTTGGCTCTCTCTGTTTCTTGGTTGTCATAAATTGAGCAGCTTTTCTCTGCAGCACCCTTCCACCATGATGTGGTCTCACCTTAGGCCCAGAGAAATGGAGTTAGTCAACCATGAACTAAGACTTTTGAAGCTATGATCCATAAAAAACTTTTGCTCCTAAGTTGTTAAGTTGTTCTTGTCAGGTATTTTGGTCACAGCAATGAAAAGCTAATACACACTGACATCATAAAAGGCAAAATACAATTAATTCCTTATTGCCCCTTTTCCAAATTGTCCCTTCACATGCAGCTCTAGGCCCAGGTTTTCCATTAGTGCTTACTGGACTTCCTGACTCTTAGTAGCCTCTTCCTTCCTAAACTAATGACTTCCACAACACAGGTACACACCACATTGTAAAAGATGCTGTTATAGTCTGAAATGTCTTAGCTGAAGAGATCCTTAGAGATCATGGAGACTAAACTCTGTAATATCTGCCACAGGAAATTTGATCCAGTAAGTTCTGGGGTTGAGATGGAATAGGGAAACATCTAAGAGAGAAAGGACCTGACAAGGAGATACATGAACAGTGCTAATGGAGAATATATTATATATATGACATTGATTTTTCTTGTGTTTTCCAATTGCTTCCCTTGATTCATCTTAATATTACCTCCAGTAAAATAACTGTGAATGTGTAAAATAGTTTATAGTACAAGACACATTTCAGGTGCATTCTGACAGTCCAGAGATCTTTAGTAAAATTCTTTGTGTCAGGTTGTTTAAGTCCAAATCCTGATTCTTTCTTCCACCACCAAATTATTATCTGTGTGACATAACGCAAACACTCGTTTCTTTGCCTGCAAAATGTTTTTTTTTTTTAAAAAAAAGCAAAATGTTTTTCCCCCGCCATTGGTTTGAAGAGATTACATAATACAAATGCCATATAGCAAGTACCCAACAAATATAACTATTATTATTAGCTTTTTGTTCACTAAACTGAGTTATCAACAGCAGGGTTTGTCTTATTCCTCATTTAATTCCTAAAGCTCACTGAATGATTAAATTGTGTCAAGTGCTTTGAAAGTTTGGGATTTTGTTATTTGGTGACTTTTTTTTTTTTTACTGGCCAGGTCTCCTATTTCTGAGCAATTCTCTTACACTGACCACTTGTGCTTGGGAAGGATAGCACCAGTACCCATCAAGAGAAGCGCCATGAATATAACTCTTTGAGCTTCCTTCTCACTTTATTCTAGGTGTCTTTCACTCAACTCACCCACTCAATTTAATCTCTTCCCTGCGGTAGGCCTTAACCTGAGCCAGGAAACAACCGGTTGAAGAGCAATCAGTTTCTTGGCTAAAACAGGGGCGGACCTTCCAAGCTGGGAGGACCATGAATGAGAATGTCTGCCTCTCCCTTCCATCAATCCTGCAACGACAGGTATTTCGTCCAAATGGCCTGAACTAAGCATCCCAGATATTTCTCCCAAGCCCACTCAGTTACCAAGGCCCACAAGAGACAGCCAGAGTCTAAGTCAAATTTGTCCAACCAGAGGCCGCTCTAGAAAAAGAAGATCCGCTCAGCCCCACCCGGGGCCGCACTTCCTTTCTAAGTGACAGGTTATAAGCAAATAAAATCGCAGGCCAAGCTGAATGACGAGAGACAGAGCCAATCAGTAAGCTAGTAAAATGACTGCCCGCCTCCGCCAGGCGGAACTTCCCCACCAGTCGCAGTGACTAGAAGGAACACCCCCCCACCCCAACACACACACACACACACTCTCTACGGAACGACTGTTACCTCGTGAGACACACATTCCAGCGACCGCAGCTCGCTACAATAGCGGCAGAAGTAGAGCTGCGAAAGCGGAGCCCGAACCTTCTTTTCTCCTTGGACTAGATAGAGAACCCGCTCCGACTGCAGCAAGGACGCCATCTTGGAGAGGGAGGAGCCAACGGCCCTCCCACCGCCTCACGTGACCACAGAGCCGGCTGCATCCTCGCCGCCTACTTTACGTCTCTCTACGTGGAATTTGACGCAGTTGGGGTTTGCCCTGGTTGAATATCAAAGTGCTGGCCAGCAGCTGGCGTCCCAGATTTCGTCCCCACCCACGTCCGGCTCGGCGAAGTTTCAGTGAGCGTCGGCTGCCCGGAGCTAGCTCAGACCTATGATTACGCCCAGACCTGCAGCTCAAACCCAGACAGGCTCAGCGCTCTCCCTTTTCTTCATTTTCTTCCAGAGAAGAAGGACCTCCCTCACCTTAAAGGCAGAAATGCCGGAGACAGATCAAAGGTCTCAAAGAGACAGATTCCTTGGGAACTGGAAAATTAAGACCAGCACTTTCTTCGATCAGTCTTGTCAATTATTCCTAGGAAACTTTCGCATATATTATTTTGTTTGAAACGTATTATGCACCCTCACGCGGAGTTGGTACATTTATTTCCGTGTTTAGATTTAAGTCTGTATTGTGGGCATTTAATAAGTATCAATGAATGAAAAAACTAAATCCACGAACAGTGTTGTTGGCAGACGTCATTTCTGAAGTGTAAACCAAAGCTTGAAGGACCACCTAAGATGCTTAGCAGAGACTAGATCCCATATTGCCTGCCGCCATGCCTGTAATTTTCTTATTATACTAGTGTCGTGTTGTATTATTACCCATCTGACATTAGTGTTGGTAATAGAGGAGAAAGGGAACTGAAAACAAATCTTTATTGAAAACTTATTAGTTCAAGTTACTGTGTCAAACTTAATATACATTCTTTCATTGAATTCTCACAAAAACTCAGGAGAAGGAGGCTTAGGGAAGCGCAGTGACTTGTCTTAAGATTTCATAGAGAGAGGTAGAACCCCGTTCTGTTTGACTTCGGAATTTATGTGCGTTACTTTCCTGTAAAATATCTACTGCTTATTTTAGCTTATTTTCTAATATAATATTAATAATGCCTTACAGTTTATATAATGCCTTTCAATTTATACAGTGCTTTCATATATATTATCTCACAAATTATGTCTTACTTTATCAATTTAAGCCTAAAAGTTATTAAATTCCATTTACTCGTTTACCAAGCTATCGCCTAGTACTGATTTCATAAGTAGATTTTGCTCTTATGAGAAAATATATTATTAGCCTACTGATTTGCAGTTTTTTCTTTGGGTTAAAGAACTCTTCGGCATTATGGTTTATCGGTTAGCCTCTGCTGAGTTTGAATGCTTTTTCCTGAACTAATCTCCCCTGGTAAAATGAAGTCCTAGAATCTTCAAGTGCAGAGAGACCACAGACTTGAGCTGGCTCCGTGTGAAAAACGCACTTTCTTGAGGACTGGCTTTGAACAATTAAATGAACAATGTATGTGGTCTCTGGGATATGCCAGGTATTTGGGAGGGAACCAGGGATAAATGAGATACTTTCTCCATTCATAGGGCTTAGAGTCAAGGTCCTGGGGCAGTGTTTCTCAAGTGTGGTTCCAGATCACCAACATAGGAATCACCTAAAGGGTTTATAACTGAAGGTTACAAATATAGATTTATATATGTAGATTCCCAAGACCCAGATAGGAATTTCTTGGATGGGACCCAAGAATTTAAATTTATAAGAAGCTGCCTACTAAAGTGGAAAAGTACTTTTTTTGATAATCACTCCTTAAATTTGCTGTCTTTGACCTTGAGGCTGGGCATGGAGAGCCTTACCTTTGCTGCCTTCTGGTTATTCGTAGCATTCACTAGCAGAATATCAGGAATTTTGTGGCCATCGTGTTATTGAATGTGGAAAGTCTCTATGTTGGTCAATTTTCCATCACTGGGACAAAATACTTGAGAAAAGCAACTTAGAGGAGGAATGATTTATTTTAATTCACAGTTTCAGAAGTTTCAGTCTGTGTTCAACTGGCTGTATTGCTTGCGGCCTAAAGTGAGGCAGAACATCTTGGTAAAAGGATGAAGCTGAGGAAAGCTGTTCATCTCATGATAACATGAAAGCAGAGGGCAAGCACGCCAGCGAAAATGCGCAAGAGTGCTAGTACTCATGCAAGGAATTGGAGACATGATATAGTCCCCAAGGGCACACCCCAAGGGCTCATTTCCAGTTACTAGCTTCCACCTCCTATAGTTTACACTACTTCCCAAAGCCCATTCAGCTATGAATCCCTCAATGGATTAATACTTTGATAAAGTCAGAGGCCTCATAATTTAATATACTTTCCCCAAACCCCACCTGGGAACACTGCTGCACTGGGGATTGAGCCTTCAACAGTTGAGCCTTTGAGAGACATTCCAGATCCAAGCCATAGTAGTCTTCCATGGCAGAAAACTAAAACACCTTGCCTGGCTTTTGCCAGGCTCTTCTTCCCACCTCCAAGGGGCCTGGATTCTATTTTCCATAATTCAAATTCTACAGAGCCCTAGCTTTGGCCTCTGAAGATTTGGGAGATCTGTGTTCCAGTGACCTAGGCTGAGTCCTTCCCTTGATCTTTTTAACTTTTTAACATATATATAATTAATACATGAAAACAGTTTTGAGATACCTCTGAGAATCCACTTGGCAAACCTGGAAGTGTGAAAGAGTTAACATTCTTTGGAGTAAAAGTTGACCACCATAGGGTGGAATCCTGTGATTTAATGTCCCCCCATTTCTGCCTTTATACATTCTCTATGGTTCTGTTAGGGGACAGATGGATGAGTATGTGGAAACACGAGGTTAAGAGAATAATTCTATAAAATGGGCCCACTGTACTGACTCCACATGTTTTCTTTGCCAAAAAACAATTTACTTGCAGCAGTGCCTGGACAGGATATGTCACATTCCTCAGCCAACTACCTGTTATCTGCAAGGAAATGCAGGCAGGAAATAACATTGATAAGTAAAAATCAACAAACTCAACATACAAATCTATTGTGTTTCTATATACTAATAACAGACTGCCTGAAAAAAGAAATTAAGAAAATATTATTTATAGTAACTTCAAATACTTCATAATAAACTTAAGGTGGTAAAAAAAATTTATACACTATGAAACTATAAAACATTGGTGAAAAAATTGAAGAATACACAAGTATATGGAAAGATATCAGTATTGATGGATTAAAAGAATTGTTAAAATTGTTAACATACTACCCAAAGTGTTTGTTACTTGATGCTGTCTGTGTCCTAATAATATGGTAAATTTATTTATTTGGAAATATTACTTTCATTGCATAATGTAGAAAAACTCCATAAATAATAAATTTCTATGAGAATAAAAAAAAATAAGGGAACCCAAGTTACTTTGAAGGGAGAGACTTTTGTGATCCTTTTTACAGACTAGATCCTGGAAGATAAGGATAATTCCTCCTAACCATAGAATTGTAAAAACGATTAAGAATCCAATTAGAACTAGTCAGCATGAACCAAGGTGGCATAGCGTTGTCATGGCAATGGGGACTTGAAAGTCTGTCACCCTGCTGTCAGTCAAAAGTCAAGAGGTGGACCTGGGCAGGACTCTCTGGGGTCCCCAGTAAAGCTGGAATGCAGGAGAGCCACATGGTACCTCTCCTCTCTGAGAAGACCAACTCTCTCCCTAGGGAGTGTCCCCTTGCCCTATCCCTCCCATAAACTAATTCCTGTTACTCTGAGCAACATGTCTGAAATCTTTCTGACTTGGTCACAAGAATTGGGGCCTGAAGGGGGTCTTTGCATTGCCTCAGTTTCTCAGAAGGCCCCAGCTCTGTAACAGTTTCTTACACAGTTTTGGAATTATGAAGCCCTGTTTACACAAAATAGTGAGCAGCTTGATAATGCCGGATGTGTTCCTTCTTACTCCTCCCAGCCCTGAGCTCACTACAGGTCACTGGGATCACTTTGCAGTCCTGGATTCCGGGTCTACAAACTCTCATTTTCAACTCTGCCTTCTAGGGTGAGTTGAAAATGAGATCAAACAATATTGAATAAATATTGACACCAGTTGTGGAAATCTGGGCCAATTTACACTCACCAGAAATGTATGAAACTTCCATTTTTCTATTGTTTTGCCAAAATGGACTATCAAATCGTCTTGGCACTTCCTAGCTATGAAATCTTGAAAAACCATTACACCTCTGTTTTATAACACATAGGATGGGAAGATAATTCCTGTCTCAATGAAAATAGAAAATATTCATGTTTGCAAAAACACTTTGTAAGCTATGAAGCACCAGAGACGTGTAACAAAAGGTCCCTATATGTTCAACATATGAAAAATCTGGAGTGTTTTTCATTTCTTTCAAGAGTCCTTCAGAGAAAATTCACAATAACAACTGAAAAAACTGGGAGCTAGGCTTTGGACAAATACACTCCCACAGAAAAGGCTCATGGGCTTCTACAGTTTCAGAGAACTGTCGCTGACTGATGTTGGCCATCTGCTAGGGCTGCCTTCCCTGCCTTTGGTCTCTTATTGAAAACGACATTTGTCACAGGTTTTCTTGCATTGAATCTCGCAGATGCATCTAAAAGTCACAGTAAGTGAACAGAAGGGAACAAACAAAATAAGCCACCATCTCAACACCCATCTGGCACCTGCAGGAGCTTCACCCAGGAAATGTGATGCTAGCAAAATCCTATTTCCCAAATGTAAGCATGGCAAAGGGCTGCAGCATGCCTTCATTCTGGGAAACATTTTATGGGCATGGGGCATGGGACTTTAAGTTTTGGGGTTCTTGTTTGTTTTTAATGGAGGTGATTATTCCCTACTGGCCCCTTGCCCCCATGTCCCTGCCCCACCTATTGTAGTTATTTCATTCTCTCACCTACCCACCCCAGCACAAAGCCCAGAAACTTCCTGGGTGATTCCCCTTTGATTCAGCCTCCTCAATAGCTCACTCCCCTTGTCATTCTCATGGCCTCTGCCTTAATTCAGAGTTGTACTGATTTCCTTCTGGACTTACTGCAACATCCTGCCTGCTGCCTCACTTGTTCTCTACATTGAGTTAGGGTGGTCTTTCTCAAACCCATCTTTTGATTTTGATCCTGTTTTG